TTTTTTTTTTTTTTTTTTTTTTTTTTGTGGGACCAATTCTTTGCTTCACCAATCAGAAAATTAAGAAAGAAGAATTTGCTAAAGAACCAATCCCCATCCGGCCCAGTTCTTTCATTATACACATATCTCTTGTTCAAAAGGTCCATTTGATACATGCAACAAGTCCAGGTTCCTAAAAAAGTTTCTTAGATAATATCTTGTTAGTGTGATTCTGATGTTAGACTAATCTTTCTTGTCAAATCGTACATCTAGAACTGAAATGTCCCCAGTAGTCTCGGTGATCACAGGCCAAGATGTACACTTACCATACTGCTCTGATAGTCCAGCTCGGTGATCGTCAAGATACAATGCTTAATTTGAGTCTTCAGAAATTGTTAGGGGTCTTCATGTAAGTCCCAATCCCTCTTCTCTTATCTTCCCAGTGTTACAGATCCCTTGATCAAACAAAAAACAACATTAGTTTTAAAGGTCAAACTGATGCATCTGCCTAATATATCAAGTTAAATTGAAGCACACAAGTTTGGACCTAAAGAAAACATAGCTATCTGGTTCAGCCAATTCCCATTTAACAATTATAATACTATTACCCTGGGAACCCAATGTTTGTTTTAGTATTGTCTCATAACCCATTTTTGGCTGATCTATTTAACTTTAACACCAATGAAACTTTAACCATTGACAGTTTTGCTTCAGGTGTCCATATAACCTAAATTAAGTAAGTCAAATTATTCTCACATTTTGATTAGTTCTCACTTATGACTGGATGTATTAAAGCACTTCTCGGCTCCTCTACTAGTTAAAACAGATTCCATGTTGCCATGCTCTTGTTCAGTAAAAGATCACAGAAGACATCAAAATGTGGCACTAACATCAGTGACACACTCAGCTATCTGCGATCTACTACTGAACAGATGCACAGCAACATTTGTTAACACTATTTGTTAACTTGGCAATTTTAATGAACAAGATTTTTCTCAATTTTCAGATAGATCGCTATGAGACCTTATGAAAAAAAAAAATAAAAAAAATTAAGTGGAAACATTGAATCTTTGAAACAAAGTCATTATTAAGCTCTAACTGACAGCTGTCACAAGACTCATCAAGATGTCACAAAGTTGTTACCTGAAGCAGTGATCAGGACACAAGCACAAATGGTTTATTGTTGAGATATTTTTAGTTTTGTATTGGATCTTCCGCCCGCAGTTTGAGTAGCTATGCATTTGGAAAGTTTTAGCTAATATTTTGCATGTCATCAAAGTGTACTTCCAGGCATGTGCTCTAGAAGTGCCCAGGTGCCACAGGTGACTAACTTTGCCCTTGAGCGACTGGAAAAACTTACTTTTTTCATATAAGTTGAAGTGCTGGGCACTTTTAGGCTCCTAGTAATTTTCCTTAGACCACAGCACTGACTTTTAAAATGAATCCATATAGAATTGGCATTAAGCTTATTCCTATAGCTAAATTTAACACATCTACTAAAGTTTATTTGTATCATAGTAAACTTAAATGGATTATCAAGGTGCTTACTGATTGGAGAACTTACCTCTTCTTCACTAAAAGTCTACTTTCCTTACTGGTTCTGCAACTACATGTAAGCCAAGCTTGTGTTGTATTGCTTCAGGAGAGAATGGTGTTTGGATGTTTAGACAAACCAAGTCCTAAAACCTAAGGAAGGAAATTGTACATACATGGGTGAAGTTAATGAAAACAAGAGGAAGCTTTTGGCTGCTGCCATTCTGAATTTTGAATTTCTACATTTAGAGTAGTCTGCATGTAGCCATTCCAATGCTTGTAGATAAGGGTAATTTCAATTGAATGTTGATCACTGATATCCACTGACACTCGGTGTATGGCACCTCCAGATTGCAAACTGTCGACAGCACACTGCAGACTGGAGATTTTTTACCTAATAATGTACTTCCATTTCTATTACCAAAAGCTAACAGTAAACAAGCTAAACTGAGCACTATTCAGGTTAAGCTGAGCACTATTTAGGCTAACCTGACATCTATTCAGGCTAACCTGAGCGCTATTTAGGCCTAAGTGTAGTCTGCAACTGGTGTCTGTAAATGTAATACACTGGTTGACACTCTACTGTGGGTGCCTTTAGTACACATGATCATAGTGTATGACATTTGCAGACTACAGACTGCAGAGTTTTCAACTAATATATGAAGGTTATGTCGTATTCCCCTTTCCATTTTTGAAAGCGAAAGGTAAACAGGCT